AGTTCAGGGCTGTGGGACAGGGCCTGGAGCTTGGGCGTGGTTTTAACCTGCAGGCAGCTGCCCCCCGCGATGCGCAGCCCCTGCAGCGGGTGCGTGCTCCCGAGCCGTAACACCTCCGAGCAGGCTGCTGGTCACGCGCGGGCAGATTATCCGCTGTTACGTGTTGAGGGCAGGGGAGCTCGGGATTTAATAGGATCAGGTCTTATGTCTGGAGCAGCCAAAATAATTTATCAGCTTTGCTGGAAAACCAGGTGATCTGACCTTGCTAGTCCCAGGCCTCATCGAGGCAGGTAATAAAGCATTTAATGTTTTAAAAATGGGGCTCTGAGGAAGATATTAAAATGTTGGCGTTGCCGCACCGTAGTGTTCTTCTGTGACTTACCTCTGCACAAGTGCTTGCACACACACATTTCGTCCTCAAATCTGCCCCATTTTGAGCTTTGGAATATTCCAGAAATCTGTGTCTGGTCGGATCTTGGCTTAAATTCATTGTGGTTTTATACTTGCCTTATTGTACAACACCTGATAAAAGATGTGTGGAGATCTATCGTGGCATATGATGGCCTTTGTAACCCAGGGATGAAGCAGCCTCATTGCTTTGCACTTGAATCAAGGCAATAGTCATCTTCGCGTCGCCTGAATTCGGAGAGCTTTTATTTGGGTAAATTGCTGGCTCTCCTGAAGGAGCGGGGCTTGGTGCTGCTTTCCCGGGGAGCAGCCTGCTGCCGTTCCCTGGGGCCGGTGGGGCAGCCAGGCGGCCGCGCTGGGCATTTGACACTCGCGTGCCAGGAAAACGTATGCGGCATCGGAGGAGCAAGGCGCTGTCTGCTCAGCGAGCGCCGCAGGTTGCAGCGTGCTGAATTTCCACACCGGGAGAGGGGATGGCACGCAGGTGGCTTCTGCTTTTGGGGGTGTGTGTGTGTGTGTGTGTTTGCAAAACCTCTGCGGCGTTGGTTTCTGCCACTGGCCTGGCTTTGGTTTTAGATGAACGCTTTTAACAACTGGGATCGGTGCTCGCTTTAGTGTTTTGCTTCTGCAGCACCAGAAATGCCCGTCTAACCGTAATTCCTGCCCCAGCAGTTGTGTAGGATGAACAAGATG